ATTTGCGCAATTTGAAGGGTAATGGAAACACGCCTAGTGACGCACTGACTTTACCATTAGCAATTGGCTCTTTCATTCAGAAGGCGGGGCTTCCTGCTATTGAGCGGCCATATTGAGCGTTGCATTTTTCCCCATTCAAAACTACACAAGTGACATGTCTTGGGTATTCTATAGTCTTTGGTTATTCTCAGCATTTTCATCAAAGAACATTAAAACATCAACTGCAGTTTTTTTATTATTATTCAGATTTTTTATAAATTGTGAAGACTCTTATTTTCATTCAATTTTATAATTATGCATTTATACTTAATTTGCCACTGACTAAATTCTCCCACGTACTGACATATTTCCTTAATTTATTAATCAATTTAGTTGATGTTCAAATAAGTTTGTCTTTCGCACACAAATCTTTACTATTCATACACGTTACACTGTAAATAATAGTAACCTGCAGTTATTAGCTTAGAGAGCTTTTTCTACCTTTACCTTTAATAGCCCTAATTTACCCCAAATGTTTTATTGGTAAAAACATATTCAGATTCATTCAATATGATATTGAATATTTTCCCCCCAACCTGAATAAAACCAGTTCATTTAAATGTTATCGGTTTTAAGATACCTTTTTTTTTTTTCAGTGCACTGTTCTTAAAATGTACGTTTGTACTATTTACCACATTTTAGAATAAGTAAATCCTTAAAGTCAACAAATTAAAGTATATGAAGTTTTATGTCCAAATATGTTCAAATGCAATCTTCCTAATATATAAACAAGTCCTTGAATCTGATTGGCTGAGCCCTTCCACGAGTGTTGTTGGATATTTGACCAGTTTCAGCTCTGGAACTATTCACCATTTGTATCGCTCCGCATGTCTCTCGTTCTGGACAGGCAGTATTTCTCCCAGTGAGCGGCAATGGCGTGAGCCTTACCTCGGCAAGTCCTTCTGCCATTTGTCGCTGGCTCTGGAGACTTTGTAGTGGTTAAACAAGATATTATTTGTTTTGGTTACATCTAAACTTTGGTCTCATGAATCAATCATTTTGGTGCTGGGGATTTCCTAGCATCTTCGGTGCAGGTTACTTTGTTACGCCAGTAGGTGGAGGCAAGGGGCTGTCTTTATACGCGAGTTGTTCCCAGTCATGTCCTGGAACACTGCACATTGTGCATGTCACATCAATATTTTGAACCAAACACGCCTGGTTCACATCATCAGTTCGTTAGTAAAGACTGCAACATCTGAAAAAGACAAAGAAGACATGCAAAATGTGTAGTGTTGGAGGGCTCCAGGAACGTGGTTGGGAACCACCAAGTTAATAGACCCTTCATTCAGGAATGAAAACAAGGAAATTATGTGAACTTTGCATACCACTTCACACAGTTCAACAGACGAGCAATTAGTCAGCGAAGATCATGGAAAGCAAGAGAACAGTTCACAAGTACTACAAGTGGTAGGCTGGTATACTATGCTGTATGCAAAGGATGGACACACCTGCCCGTAGCTTTCTAGTGATCTTGAAGACATTGATTAGCTTGTTCAGGAGTGTTTGATTAGGGTTGGAGCTAAACTCTGCAGGACAGTGGCTCTCCAGGACCAAAGTTGCCCAGCCCTGCTCTACTGTATGCACTTACAGTTTGCACTTTGCCATCTAGTGTATCTACATTTTAGATTTATTCATTTGACAGACACTTTTAGCCAAAGCGACTTGAAGCATACCAAAAGCAGTTCATCATAGGATGGCAATAAACACGAGAAGTGCCAGTTAAACAAGGTTTCGGTCATCATTCAAAATAGTAAAAGCTGAGACAGGACGGGAATGAGGGATAATGAGAACATTTTTAGGAGAATGCAGTAAGGTGCTCACGCAAGAGATGGGTTTTCAATTATTTCTTGAAGATTGTGAGGGATTTGGCTGTCTGGAGTTATATAGGTCATTCCAGCAGTAAGGAATGGTGAAAGAAAATGTCCTTGAGAGTGATTTTGAGCCGCTCTCGATGGGACAGCAAGGCTCCACTCCCTTACTGACCGCAGGCTGCTGGAGGGGACATGACTCGTAAGAGAGAGCGGAAGTAGGAGGGTGCAGAGCCCGGCAAGCTCCAAGGTCTTGAACTTGAAGCGAGCCACAACTGGAAACCAGTGCAGAGAGATGAGAAGCAGTGTGACATGGGCTCTCTTGGGCTCATTGAAAATGAGACGTGCTGCTGCATTCTGGATCATTTGCAGAGGTTTGATTGCACATGTTGGGAGTCCAGCCAGAAGAGCATTACCATAGTCCAGACTAGAAATGACAAGTTCCTGGACGAGTTCTGTTAGGAAGGGCTTGATCTTACTAATGTCTCAATTTGAGAAGGGTGGTCTCATCCCAAATGGAATACTAATGGCTATTTACCAGTTTCCCAGTCAAGGGCAAATGACATTGCCGCACATAACGCAATGCCATTAGCTGTGCCGTAGTAGTGAACAATAGTGAACAAAAATTAATTTCTTCATTTTGTTTGTTAGTCACCTTTTATACCCAATATCAGCCCAGTCACCCTCAGATGAAAGCGTATTCATTATGCAAACACAGCCAAAGATCTTTAACGTCAATAATAATCAAATATTAGTAATATACATTGATAATATCAATAATAAAGAAAGTAAGTAAATCATGTGCACAGTTTTAAGAAAATTGTGAGTACGTTTTACTGTTTTGTTACCTCGTTTTAATGAAATCATGAGTACGTTTTACCAACTCCTGTCCACAATTTCATAAACCCATCAAACATCACATGGTGAACACAGAAGTTTGTCATATCTTGTCAGCCTGGTCTAATTGTTTAAACGTATGAATTAGTATGTAACATTTACAATTATGTAAGTTTTGACTGATGCTGAAACGTACAATTTACATACAGCCATGCTGATATACTCGGCAAGTCCTTCTGCCATTTGTCGCTGGCTCTGGAGACTTTGTAGTGGTTAAACAAGATATTATTTGTTTTGGTTACATCTAAACTTTGGTCTCATGAATCAATCATTTTGGTGCTGGGGATTTCCTAGCATCTTCAGTGCAGGTTACTTTGTTACGCCAGTAGGTGGAGGCAAGGGGCTGTCTTTATACGCGAGTTGTTCCCAGTCATGTCCTGGAACACTGCACATTGTGCATGTCACATCAATATTTTGAACCAAACACGCCTGGTTCACATCATCAGTTTGTTAGTAAAGACTGCAACATCTGAAAAAGACAAAGAAGACATGCAAAATGTGTAGTGTTGGAGGGCTCCAGGAACGTGGTTGGGAACCACCAAGTTAATAGACCCTTCATTCAGGAATGAAAACAAGGAAATTATGTGAACTTTGCATACTACTTCACACAGTTCAACAGACGAGCAATTAGTCAGCGAAGATCATGGAAAGCAAGAGAACAGTTCACAAGTACTACAAGTGGTATGCTGGTATACTATGCTGTATGCAAAGGATGGACACACCTGCCTGTAGCTTTCTAGTGATCTTGAAGACATTGATTAGCTTGTTCAGGAGTGTTTGATTAGGGTTGGAGCTAAACTCTGCAGGACAGTGGCTCTCCAGGACCAAAGTTGCCCAGCCCTGCTCTACTGTATGCACTTACAGTTTGCACTTTGCCATCTAGTGTATCTACATTTTAGATTTATTCATTTGACAGACACTTTTAGCCAAAGCGACTTGAAGCATACCAAAAGCAGTTCATCATAGGATGGCAATAAACACGAGAAGTGCCAGTTAAACAAGGTTTCGGTCATCATTCAAAATAGTAAAAGCTGAGACAGGACGGGAATGAGGGATAATGAGAACATTTTTAGGAGAATGCAGTAAGGTGCTCACGCAAGAGATGGGTTTTCAATTATTTCTTGAAGATTGTGAGGGATTTGGCTGTCTGGAGTTATATAGGTCATTCCAGCAGTAAGGAATGGTGAAAGAAAATGTCCTTGAGAGTGATTTTGAGCCGCTCTCGATGGGACAGCAAGGCTCCACTCCCTTACTGACCGCAGGCTGCTGGAGGGGACATGACTCGTAAGAGAGAGCGGAAGTAGGAGGGTGCGAGGGTGCAGAAGCTCCAAGGTCTTGAACTTGAAGCGAGCCACAACTGGAAACCAGTGCAGAGAGATGAGAAGCAGTGTGGCAGTGTGACTCTTGGGCTCATTGAAAATGAGACGTGCTGCTGCATTCTGGATCATTTGCAGAGGTTTGATTGCACATGTTGGGAGTCCAGCCAGAAGAGCATTACCATAGTCCAGACTAGAAATGACAAGTTCCTGGACGAGTTCTGTTAGGAAGGGCTTGATCTTACTAATGTCTCAATTTGAGAAGGGTGGTCTCATCCCAAATGGAATACTAATGGCTATTTACCAGTTTCCCAGTCAAGGGCAAATGACATTGCCGCACATAACGCAATGCCATTAGCTGTGCCGTAGTAGTGAACAATAGTGAACAAAAATTAATTTCTTCATTTTGTTTGTTAGTCACCTTTTATACCCAATATCAGCCCAGTCACCCTCAGATGAAAGCGTATTCATTATGCAAACACAGCCAAAGATCTTTAACGTCAATAATAATCAAATATTAGTAATATACATTGATAATATCAATAATAAAGAAAGTAAGTAAATCATGTGCACAGTTTTAAGAAAATTGTGAGTACGTTTTACTGTTTTGTTACCTCGTTTTAATGAAATCATGAGTACGTTTTACCAACTCCTGTCCACAATTTCATAAACCCATCAAACATCACATGGTGAACACAGAAGTTTGTCATATCTTGTCAGCCTGGTCTAATTGTTTAAACGTATGAATTAGTATGTAACATTTACAATTATGTAAGTTTTGACTGATGCTGAAACGTACAATTTACATACAGCCATGCTGATATAGAGCCATATTCCTCTGCTGCTTATGTGATATCGCTCATGTATCATGAGCATTGAGATTTCTGACCAGTATATGTTTGAAATCTAAACATACACAACACATACACAAGACCTCTGGCACGGTTCCTTTATTTATTTTTCATGCTTATTCCTGATGCCTGATGTGTTGCACACCTCTATTTGTAAACATAGTTTAGTATCTGTCTATTATTAATTTCTGTGCATTTATTTTTCATAGACAGAAATATGAATCCCTTAATGAGGACAGGCTTAGGTTGAAACCGTACAGGTGCATCTCAATAAATTAGAATGTCGTGGAAAAGTTCATTTATTTCAGTAATTCAACTCAAATTGTGAAACTTGTGTATTAAATAAATTCAATGCACACAGACTGAAGTAGTTTAAGTCTTTGGTTCTTTTAATTGTGATGATTTTGGCTCACATTTAACAAAAACCCACCAATTCACTATCTCAACAAATTAGAATATGGTGACATGCCAATCAGCTAATCAACTCAAAACACCTGGTATTTCTCCCAGTGAGCGGCAATGGCGTGAGCCTTACCTCGGCAAGTCCTTCTGCCATTTGTCGCTGGCTCTGGAGACTTTGTAGTGGTTAAACAAGATATTATTTGTTTTGGTTACATCTAAACTTTGGTCTCATGAATCAATCATTTTGGTGCTGGGGATTTCCTAGCATCTTCGGTGCAGGTTACTTTGTTACGCCAGTAGGTGGAGGCAAGGGGCTGTCTTTATACGCGAGTTGTTCCCAGTCATGTCCTGGAACACTGCACATTGTGCATGTCACATCAATATTTTGAACCAAACACGCCTGGTTCACATCATCAGTTCGTTAGTAAAGACTGCAACATCTGAAAAAGACAAAGAAGACATGCAAAATGTGTAGTGTTGGAGGGCTCCAGGAACGTGGTTGGGAACCACCAAGTTAATAGACCCTTCATTCAGGAATGAAAACAAGGAAATTATGTGAACTTTGCATACCACTTCACACAGTTCAACAGACGAGCAATTAGTCAGCGAAGATCATGGAAAGCAAGAGAACAGTTCACAAGTACTACAAGTGGTAGGCTGGTATACTATGCTGTATGCAAAGGATGGACACACCTGCCCGTAGCTTTCTAGTGATCTTGAAGACATTGATTAGCTTGTTCAGGAGTGTTTGATTAGGGTTGGAGCTAAACTCTGCAGGACAGTAAGGAACGGTGAAAGAAAATGTCCTTGAGAGTGATTTTGAGCCGCTCTCGATGGGACAGCAAGGCTCCACTCCCTTACTGACCGCAGGCTGCTGGAGGGGACATGACTCGTAAGAGAGAGCGGAAGTAGGAGGGTGCAGAGCCCGGCAAGCTCCAAGGTCTTGAACTTGAAGCGAGCCACAACTGGAAACCAGTGCAGAGAGATGAGAAGCAGTGTGACATGGGCTCTCTTGGGCTCATTGAAAATGAGACGTGCTGCTGCATTCTGGATCATTTGCAGAGGTTTGATTGCACATGTTGGGAGTCCAGCCAGAAGAGCATTACCATAGTCCAGACTAGAAATGACAAGTTCCTGGACGAGTTCTGTTAGGAAGGGCTTGATCTTACTAATGTCTCAATTTGAGAAGGGTGGTCTCATCCCAAATGGAATACTAATGGCTATTTACCAGTTTCCCAGTCAAGGGCAAATGACATTGCCGCACATAACGCAATGCCATTAGCTGTGCCGTAGTAGTGAACAATAGTGAACAAAAATTAATTTCTTCATTTTGTTTGTTAGTCACCTTTTATACCCAATATCAGCCCAGTCACCCTCAGATGAAAGCGTATTCATTATGCAAACACAGCCAAAGATCTTTAACGTCAATAATAATCAAATATTAGTAATATACATTGATAATATCAATAATAAAGAAAGTAAGTAAATCATGTGCACAGTTTTAAGAAAATTGTGAGTACGTTTTACTGTTTTGTTACCTCGTTTTAATGAAATCATGAGTACGTTTTACCAACTCCTGTCCACAATTTCATAAACCCATCAAACATCACATGGTGAACACAGAAGTTTGTCATATCTTGTCAGCCTGGTCTAATTGTTTAAACGTATGAATTAGTATGTAACATTTACAATTATGTAAGTTTTGACTGATGCTGAAACGTACAATTTACATACAGCCATGCTGATATAGAGCCATATTCCTCTGCTGCTTATGTGATATCGCTCATGTATCATGAGCATTGAGATTTCTGACCAGTATATGTTTGAAATCTAAACATACACAACACATACACAAGACCTCTGGCACGGTTCCTTTATTTATTTTTCATGCTTATTCCTGATGCCTGATGTGTTGCACACCTCTATTTGTAAACATAGTTTAGTATCTGTCTATTATTAATTTCTGTGCATTTATTTTTCATAGACAGAAATATGAATCCCTTAATGAGGACAGAACCGGCAGCAGATGATATATGATGAACTGTCGAATATGGAATAACCTGTATGCGAAAGTTATAATACTACAGTGTATTGCAAAATGAATGATCTCACAATGTCAAATTGTGATAATCAAATATTTATATAACACAGTTTCAGAATAATGTTAGTTTAACACTCAATGACTGCATAACATTTATATTAAAAAAATAAATAGATTATTGGTATGAAAATAATAGAGCTTAATATAAACTTCACATTTGAACTTTCTGAACTTTCAACTGCCAGCTGAGTGAAAATTTTATTGACATATAATTATAAATAAAATCATTTGTCATAAGCAAAAAAGACCTTACTTCATTTTTGTAGCTCCTTTTAAGCCAATAGTTCATGATAAGATCCCAGATTTGATGGACCTTAATTTGTATTTTCAATTTTATTTTTATTTCAATTTCAGTCCTTGCAAATTTTTATTTTAAAATCAGTCCTTGCACATGTTTTGGTGCAACCAAGTATATTCACAATGATTTAGTCATGTGAAAAGTTTTCGACTTTGACCTTTGAATAACACATGAAGTGCATATCTCAGAACCTGAGAAAACAGTCCTACAGAGTTGATTTTCTTTAAACAGTAAATAAAAGGCCACATGTTGTTCTAAAAATGTTGAGGTTGCAGAACAGTTTGAAACATTAGCTATCAGTATTGTACGTGACAGACATTATTACAACACAAGCATGCTCATTCTCTACCATTACCAAACAACTGCAGCAGGAACGTGAACAAGTACACAATATCCAGGTAGAGACTGAGTGTTGCAAAGATATATTCTTCAGGACTCATTGCGTATTGCTTGTTCCCGATCAGCAGCTGTGTATCAAAGGCAAGAAACTGGGACAGAAGATGCGAGAGAAGAGAAAGAGACACAGGTCAGTCAATGTTATATCACCTTAATCACATGATTAAATAAGCATCATTTAAAACCATAATCCTTTCTTGACTAATCTGCTTCTCACCATGGTAAAGACAACAGCTCCTATGCTGGCGTAGACTGCATGCAACCAGGGAACCTTTCAAAAGACAAAGCCGTTAGAAAGTGACTAGTATCTATATTTGGACTGTTAATGCTTTTGTACAGATTAGGACTGGGACGATTATAGCTATTAGGACTATAATTATCTAAAACCAAAAATACAGTCCTCAACTTGTTTGTTGAAAACTCAGTGAGGTGTTCAGGTGCTGCTACATTTGTTGACTTGAGAAAGCCATCATATTGCTATTCTGTTTAAACCTAAAATGATTATTCTCCTTAAACGAACATTTCTGCACTGGGTTAAATACAACCCAGCGCTGGTTAAAATATGAACTGACCCAGCTATTGGGTTGTTTTCAACCAACAGTTGGGTTAAATGTTTAACCCAACCTTCAACTTGTTTGTTGAAAACTCAGTGAGGTGTTCAGGTGCTGCTACATTTATGTTGACTTGAGAAAGCCATCATATTGCTATTCTGTTTAAACCTAAAATGATTATTCTCCTTAAAAATACAACCCAGCGCTGGGTAAAATATGAACAAACCCAGCTATTGGGTTGTTTTGACCCAGTGGTTAAGTTACTACCCAGAAGGTTGGGTTCAACATTTCACCCAACCGCTGGGTCAAAACAAGCCACTTGCTGGGTTTGTTCATATTTCACCCAGCGCTGGGTTGTATTTAACCCAGCATTTTTTAAGAGTGTGACTGTAACTCCTCGAGCTTTAGAGCTATGACCATTAAACTATCACAATATGCTAGCAACGTGAAAGCATTGCTACTGATTTGTCTGTAACACTTTCGTTTAGGGACCAATTTTCACTATTAAATAGTTGCATGCATACACTCTAAAAAATGCTGGGTTAAATGCAACCCAGTGCTGGGTAAAATAGAGACAAACCCAGCAATTGGGTTGTTTTGACCCAGCGGTTGGTTTACTACCCAGAAGGTTGGGTTAAACATTTAACCCAACCGCTGGGTCAAAACAGCCCAAATTTACCCAGCACTGGGTTGAATTTAACCCAGCATTTTTAGAGTGTATTACTAGCATATTGGCTGTTTATTAGTGCTTATAAAGCACATATTCTGAATGAGCATATTCTACATCCCTAATCCTAAACTTAACAACTACCTTACTAACTATTAATAAGCAGTAATTAGAAGTTTATTGAGGCAAAAGTCATAGTTAATAGAGAGAACTAGACCTTAAAATAATATGTGACCCAAATTGTCGGTCTGAGAGACTGCATGGCCTTAAAACCTTCAAATGTTGAGCTTTTAAAAACTATGTTAATCTTAAAATTACTTCAAAATTCAAACTTTCTGGTCAGGCTTTATCAAGCCAACGTCAAAGTTTGCCTTGACAACCTTTTATTTTATTTTATTTTATTCTTTTTTTTTTGTCTAGTTTACTTATATTTTTGGATACTTACATAGCCAAAGGGAACCACAAATCCCATGACAATAGCACAGAAAAACATGACCATACACAGAATGAAGAGAAGACCTTGGAAAGAGGTGATGTCAATCTAGAGAGTCAAAAAACAACACTTTAGAATTTTAATATTACTGTATTTTACATGTGCATATATCATCATGGTAACACAAATATAACAAAATACACTGATGTACAGTAAAAAGTCTATTAGTATTTATAGTTGGAATAATTCTTCCGGCATTTGCTCACCTTGCTCTGAAAGCTGAAGATGGTGACACACAGACACACTATGGCAGTGATGCCAATGCACAGCACTACAGACTTGGTGTTGTAGAAACTGGCAGAAGTAAGAACAGGTACTGTTATGTTCAGTAGAAATTAAACATATCTTGTAGACTTAAAAAAAATATGTTTGGAAAAGCATGCACACACAACAGACATGTCATTACCTAGAGATGAAACCCAACATGCAAGCCATGCTCAGAGTCTGCATTTGCACAAAAGCATGCAAAATGAACGACAGAGGGGGAAAAAGAACATTTAAAAATCAGGCATATTTTAATTTATATTAATGCAATGATTGAAAAAAAAAATGCAATCCACAGTCTACACTCTAAATTATGAGTCTAGAAATTCTAAAATACTAGAATTTAATTAGACCAAAGGACAACATGCATTTTACTTGGGGTGAGGGACAGATTTAAGTATGTAAGTGTAAAATTATAAGTCAAAGTGGATGAAATTTTAAATAGATTAGTTCGCTCCAAGAGAAAATATTCTCTTTCTTTCTTTCTTTCTTTGATGGATCCTCCATCCTCCAGTGGATGCTCTGCAGTGAATGGGTGCCGTCAGAATGAGAGTCCAAACAGCTGATAAAAACATCACAATAATCCACAGCACTCCAGTCCATCAGTTCACATCTCGAGAAGCCAAAAGCTACGTGTTCATACTGTATCCATCCATGAAACAAATCCATCGTCATTTTTTAACTTCAAATCTTTGCTGTTAGCTAAAATATGAGTCCATAATCCATAATAAGACTTCTTCTCATCTCATCTGAATCAGGAAATATGCACAGATCTAAGCAACATTTATGAACCAAACAGTCCAAAACAGCCCTAAACAAATTTGTCAGTGGATTTGATGTGAGAGACAACAGGAGATGGAATTTTTTTACTGGAGGGAGCGTTATTATAGATTATGGACTCTATTTTTATATATATATTTTTTTAGCCTGAAGCAACGGTTTAAAGTTAAAATGCTTTAATTATGGATTTATTTCTTACAAACACAGCTTTTGTCTTCTCCAGATGTTAACTGATGGACTGGAGTGTGGATTATTGTGATGTTTTTATCAGCTGTTTGGACTCTCATTCTGACGGCACCCATTCACCGCAGAGCATCCACTGGTGAGCAAGAGATGTAATGCTAAATTTCTCCAAATCCATGAAAAAACAAACAAACAAACAAACATCTACATCTTAAATGGTCTGAGGGTTAGTAAATTTACAGCAAATTGTTTGGGGTGAGCTATTCCTTTAATGCATCTTGACACTCACAAAGATTGTAAGCAGAATAAGATTCCATGGAAACTGCCTCCTGTAATACAGAAATGAAAAGATGGATGCCACTATTATTATGATGTTTTCCCAATCCTTTTTTTTTCATATAAGAGATGAGTGTTTAACCAGTATATAACTACAACTGCAATTTATTAACAGTTTATTGACTTACCTCAAATCACTGCAGCAAGCCAATGAGATATATGTGACAAGAAACAGAAGACTGCAAAATACAAACATTGCTTGAGTTAGAGATACAGTTAGTATACTGAAATAAATGACCACGTCGTTAACATTTTAGAGCATTTATGTCTTTAAACATTTTAATTACTGATTAAACAGCAGTTTCACATACTTGGACATGGAGTATAACACAGGATGTGTCTGAATGTATATCCTCACTGGAGCACTACAGCAGAGAGAAAAGGATCAGGAATGTCAAATAGTTCATATACAATCGAATATGCTTACACATAATTGATACATAACATTAACTACCGTTCAAAAGTTTTGAGGTCGGTAAGATTTTTTCATGTTTCTGAAAGAAGTGGTGCTCACCATGGCTGCATGTATTTGTTATAGAGTAAATACAGTAAAAGAAACCTAATATTGTGAAATATTATTACAATTTAAAAGAACTGTTTTCTGTATGAATATTTTGTCAAATGTAATTTATTGCTGTTTTCAAAGCTGTATTTCCAGCATCATTACTCCAGTCTTCAGTGTCACATGATCTTCAGAAATCAGTATAATATGCTGATCTGCTGCTCAAGAAACATTTCTGATTATTATCAATGTTGAAAACTTTTTGTGAAAACTTCCTGTCCTCAAACTTTTGATCGACAGTGTAATTCAGTGACGAGACATTGTGATATATTAGTAATAGAGCAAGAATCAGTTACTCACCAGAATGTGAAGAGAGCAATAACTGCTACTGTTGAAAAGAGCTGCAGCATCAGGATTGAATAAACCTGCAAGAATATGAAAAGAGTAAGAGTAAGATTTTTTGTTTTACAAACGTTTTGATTTGATTGTCCTCTATACTTAATATAATTAAGTGTAAATATTTCATCTGCTACCTTTCGTATAAAAACATGTCTAATATACATGTCATCCCAGGAAAAAGATCCTTCACCATAGTAACCAGGACATCCTGCAAAGAGATAATAAAATGACAAAATTAAGACAAGAAAAAATGATATATAAGACAAAAGACACAATGTTAGTTCTGATAGATAGATAGATAGATAGATAGATAGATAGATAGATAGATAGATAGATAGATAGATAGATAGATAGAAATAGTCAGATTAGATAGATATGCTTTAAACACAAAGGATGCTCACACCAAAAAACGCATTTTTACACAAGTGCCTAAGACTTTTAACAGCACTGCAGTCTTGCAGGAGGTCTCTTGAAGCGTCTCAGAGACACAGTTCTTCTGGATTGAGTCGGTCTCAGTTTGTTCTGTTTCTTCATGTGACTCCAGACAGACTGATGATGATCAGATCAGATCTCTGTGTGGAGCTCAAAAATCTCACTGCATTATTACAATTAATGGCCAAATGAATGTTTAGAAATGTAAACTGATATTTCCTATTGACACACTACAGCAAAAGATAGAAATAACCGACTTAAAATCCATATTTAGCTGCTGAAAATACTAGTGTTCTAATCATTTTGGCCACCACTGTATATATCATGTAAAATATATATTTTAAAAGTACAAAATTGAAGACACACACACACACACACACACACACACACACACACACACTTCCTTTTGGTGGAATCTTGAGCTGTGTTCTACTTTGTGAGGTGGACGAGTGAGGTTTATCTGGACAGACCCTCAAACCCTTGTTTTCGACTGAGAGAGCGAGTCTACTTCATATGTGCTCTTCAGGCAGCTTTATAGCTTTCAGGCAGATCACAATGCAACACAGGTATTGCTTAAAAGCTATTACATAAGCAATATTATACATATGACCGGTGAGCGTGATTTGACCAAGCACAACATGTTCCTGGATCAACATCCTTGTTGATCCTGGAACAACATTCCAATCAACCAATCAGAATTGAGGGATAACTTTTCAGGAAATATCCGTTTTAGGCTTACGATCAGGATTAGGTGTTTCTACACCCTTGTTAATCAGCTATCATTCTAAACCGATTTTAGGAATACATTATGGGTAAGGTTAGGCTTAGGGGTAGGGATTGGGTTTAGTCTTTAGTCTTTAGTATTTTTGGACAGTAATGTTGATCCAGGATCAACAAAAGAAGTTAATCCAGGAACATGTCTAATGAGCTATTAAGAAAGTTAAAGGTTTATTTCTAAAGTGCCTGGAAGCCTCCATGTCACTAGGGTAAACTGTCGTACGATTTGTGTTGATTTAATTAATAACTCAAAATAACAGTCCTTTCTTTCACCGTCGCAGCACAACCTGTAAGCTTTCCAATGGTTCAGCTGCTTGACGGCGTGTTCTCTGCTCCCCCCCACAAGGATAGTAAAACCTGACATTTTTAACAATTTTTGATCCACGGGGGAAAGATTAAAAATAGTAAATGATGTTTATCTGAAAGTGTAACAATGCAAACAGGTTTTCTGTAAGGGGTAGGTTTAGGGGATAGAAAATATTGTTTGGTCAGTGTAAAAGTAATAGACATCTATGGAAAGTCCCCACGATTCACAGAAACAAACGTGTGTGTGTGCCACACGTTAAATGTTCAGTGTTTTTTCTCTTGTTATTGTTGGATTTTAACTTGCAACCTACATTGGCTGGACAAGAAACTGTAAATAATACCTTGTAAAATCATATTTTAAGATTTTATTCAAACTAATTTAATGTAGTTTGTCACTGTTACTGTTCATGTTGATGTAGTATGACACAGTAACATCAAGAGGGCGCACTTACTGCATATAAGTCCAGATATACATAGGTTTCATTACAAAACAAATGTTATTTTGTGTAGAATCTGGACTAAGTTTCCATTCGTTAACGTTAGTTACATTTGTTATCATGAACTAAGAATGGAAAATGTATTTAAACATTTCTTAATACATTATTAAAAACAAAAGCTGTGGCTATTAATATTATTTAATGGATCTGAGCAATGTGAACAATTAATAGTTAATAATGCACTTTAATAAAACACGATTGAATACATACTATAACAAATTGCTCATTGTAAATGTTACTTAATGCATTAACAAATGCTAACTAATGAGACCTGATTGTAAAGTGTTATCTATATTTTATATGCTTATTCAAACATACATGAACCATTTTAAGGCTTTATTAAAACTGATGTCATTAATGTTACTGTTCATTTAAATGTAATATGGCACAGTAACCTCAAGAGGACGCACTTACAGTATGTAATTCCATGGCAAGCATTATTGGTTTCATGTACTATACATATTAGTAGTTATATAATCAAGCTGATAAAATCTCTCTCATTCTATAATTATTCTTTTATTTCTATATTTTTTCTTAAGAATCATGTGGCACTGTCAAGACAGTGAGAGGAAGGAGTTGCAAACATTAAGACCACATGAGACAGAATGAATAATGTTAATCTTTCTTAATCTTTATCTTTTAAACCACAACTACACAGGGCAAAGGGAAGAGGGCAAAATGCAAACTGAGTTTCTCCATTCATCCTCATTCTACCAAGAGCATCTTATTAGCCTAACATTTCATGTGAAGAGGAAGTATTCACTATAACTGGAATATTACATGATTAACAGCACATGATATTCAGGTTGATTAATTTTATAAACAGAATAATCTGATAATAATTATTCTAGTCTGATTATTCTGTGCTACAATACTATACTGCAATGGCACCATAGTGACATAGTCTTCAATTTGTTGATTAAAAAATGCATGAAGGGAAACAAAGATTCCCATTCCCACTTGAACCCCTGGAGCCATTATTTAAATGAAGGTGGAAATCTTGGCATATATCATACATCAGCTCCATACACATTGGCTCCATTTGCCAGTTGCTAGGATACCATTGTGCACCATCAGCATTCCATGTACAACGAAACGTGCAGAACAATACGCATGCATATAAAATGCTTTGCAAAACTTGAAAGGTAATTTTTTAATATCACATAATCTGTCAAAGAAGCTTAATACATTTACCAAATATACATTTAGATGCACATGAAATAAATGAATTGAATTTGCGTAGAAATGGCAAAGTCCACTTTTGCTGCTAACCCATCCTCTTTCAGAACATTGTGAACTGCAAAGGGTAGAATAAACCATATCCATGCAGAGCTGTTGTAAATGACGCTGGTTTAACACTTTAATAGACATCGAGGAGTCCTTTCTTCATTAAAGAACCCATTGTCCCTGACATTAATACATACTACAGTCTTATACAGTTATAAGAAACTATCATACAGTATATTTCAATTATAATACATGTTTTTTACAACCAAGGTTTTGACTGCCTGACAAATATAAACAATATTTATAAAGGTCCACAAAGAGAATGTGTTTAATGAAATTATTGAATTGTGCAATTGAACTGAAGTTTATCTGAAAGGTTGATGATAAATGCATAGCATCCGGAGTGAGAAAAATACTTACAACGTCCCAAAACTTGCACAATGATCTTGCACTGTGAGCCCAGATTAATTCTAGTTATAAAACAGCCATCACCTCAAAATCTATACCATCTTCCTCTGTTTTTACATTTCTTGAAAACAATCCTGAAAAGTCAAAATGTCCAGCATCTGCTCCATAATTCTGTTCCACTTATGTTGCATTGGAAAAGTTCAATGTCAGTTTTATCTTGAGGTGGCGCAAGTCTCAGGTGTTTGTGTAAGTGCTAGTCAAAATCAGATGTTTATCCTGCAATATGCATGGCTTATTTGTACAAGAAGAGCACCCTGAATCTATGTTTTGACCCCTTATTAATGTGTAGACTTGGGTAGGTCAAGTAATTGTCTCTTTCTGTTCTCAGGGGTCAATATGGAAGGCTAGGAGTTTCTCGGAGTGCTGGTTGTTGAGGGTACGGAGGTCAGGCAGACGTAGCAGGAGTTTGGGGAAGAGTGAGCTGTCCTCTGGCCTTCGTCGAGTGATGAGAGCGCGAAGAGCGCCGATCAAATCCTCCTGGAGCTGCTCTACGGCCCCCATATCTGAGATACCGGAACGATCTGATAGAGAGTAACAGAAGTATTGTCTCTCGGATGTAAACATTATAGCTCTGGTCCAAACTCTAGTAAGCTGCCTTGTTATCAGTCTACACAAGCAACTACCTCAGACAACTAGCTCAGTAATAAAAACATACTTCGAATAATGCTTGCATGTGATAATTCTCTCAATTACTGGGAATCCAAGGTACCTGCAGAAACCAGCACCACAGCCATGAAGAGGGCCATCTCATCGGCCTTCAGACCCATGTTCCCCAGCTTCTCACTGAACTCGAACATGGCGTCCAGAAGACTGCCCATGCCTAGAACTCGCAGGGATGCCAGCGGGTAGGTCTGACCATTCAGGAATGTTACGGTACGCTCCTTGGCATCAAACAGCGAGCAGAACCTCACCATTAGAACCTGCAATAAACCACATGATGAGGCAATAGGGTCATGAAGGAAAGGAATATCTGGACCGTTTTTTTAACGATTACGTCAAAAGAACTGATTTGAGGACAGACGTTGGCGTTTCTCACCTGAAAGGTTCCTGCCTTCAGCAGCATGACTTGATCATGTTGACTCAGGGCCTGAAACCCTGGAATGCTCTTGGCAAATTCAACCACTTCTTTAACAGCTGGAGTGAAGCACTGGGAGAAACTCTCCCAGACCTGTTGACTGGAGTGACTGGCTGGGGAGATGGGACATGCATTGAGAGGACATGCCTAAAAAAATACAGAAAGAGAAAGAGACCATTTTAAGTTATAGAACATAGTAAACTAAGACCAGCAAACAAATCAAATGCCATCATAAAAACATACCAGAACTTTAGCACCAGGGCTCGGTCTCCAAGGACAAGACGTTTGAGTGGAATAATTGTTGTGCTTCGATGGATAGCTTTGAGAAGGTGTAGTTCCCTGACTGGGACTTGAGGACTGTGGGAAGTTATAGTGACTGTTGTCCATAACTCGGGTTGTCGGTTGTCTGTGGTGGTTGGTGACTG